CCATGGAACAAACCACAAATTGTTTGCTTGAAATTATCTCGTGGAAAGTGAAATTTGAAAAGTTCTATTGTTTAGCGTATGCATGTGTCCGTGAACCAAGGGCAAATGCAATACAATAGACGTGTCCACGCGTTTGTTCTTTTTTCACCAGCTTTGTTCATACTGTTTTTGTGATGTGTTCCGGGGCTAAAGGTCCCTCAATATTTCGAAATATCAGTAGTAGTCTGGTTGATCGGAAATGTAATACAAAACTCAGTCCACTTTCAACCAACGCATTCAGTTGAGTACCAGGACCAAACAAAGCACTTTGATTATGTACTAGTTCTGAAAATCGATCCGTTCGATATACGCAGTATGATAAAATGTTTTAACCGAACTCATGCTTGGTTGAGCCAATTGCACCAACTGGACACGGAGGTGATTAAAATCGATACACTTCCCGCTACCTGTGAGCAGTAGGCTGAGTTTGATCATGTACAGAGCTAATGAGTTACTCATTGGGATAGTTGATTTCCCTTGATCCGGTTTCATCAGCGCTGCGAATTTATCGACCCCTACTGAGGATCGCGCGAGACCGGGATATCACGGATAAATGTTTATGTTCAAATATCTAAACACCCTGCTCATGAACACTGTCATCGTTCAGTCATGTGGGTCACGAGAAAGAGTTTTATCACACCGGTCCTCATCTTCTCGCAGGATATCAAAGTGTATAATACTAAAATCACAGTGTTTTTTAAATCCGAGTAAGTTCCTCGTCAGACAGTTGATGTGTGTTAGTTGTGGTTTGTCCAAAACAAGACACGGTCATGCGAAATCAATAAATGAACCCGTCGATTACGAGTGGTCTGTGTGTTTTAGGATCAACTCGGATAGATCTATGAGAACCGTTGCGATAACGGAAACATTAATCAGATTGATGAAACACATTGATGTGTAGCATATTTTTGTTCAATCTATATTCCAATTAACCTCGATGATTCTATCGGCATCTTTCTTGCCCGCCCGCCCCCCCCACTGCATCCCGTTTCTTCTTCTCACAACACAGATGTTGCTTACCCCGATCGATTTTGATGATGACCATCGTCGTGCTTATTGGCGAAAAGCATTGCAAGATTTGATGGATCAAGGCGTGGTCCCGATCATCAATACAAATGATGCAGTCGCCTGGGACGAGGAAACTTATAATGAACATGTATGTCCTGCCTGATCCGGGGAAATAAGAGGCAGTCTATGTGCTTGTGTGCATGCTGTTGTTGTTGGTATTATTATTATTATTATTATTATTATTATTATTATTGTAGAACCATTTCAGTTATTCTCACCTTGGTCCCGCATGCCTAGAATAGAACCACGCAATATCAGCTGATGATTGCACTTATGCGACCTAGAGAATTTTATCAGGAAGGATAAGATCACTGCTCGCATAACTAATCCATGTCAACCCACCCACCCCCCTCTATACCCTCTCCCATTATACGCTTCTTCCTGCACGCACCATCACACACATAGAAACAGCATCCTCTCTTTTCTTGTTCACATTTTAGTAAATCGGACACCGATTATTACAAGTTTAGTTGAACACCTCATGAATTAGTTTATTTATTCATCACTTTATATCTGTCACCATTGTTTTCATGCTTGCAGTTTGCTGTCGTTTTTTAATCAACCTATTCACACTCGGATGCCATACCCCTTCAATTCCACCGTATTATTGTGAAAAGTCACTCAAAATTCACCTTTCGGGTGCATACAGATTACTTTGACTTGGCTTGACTTGACTTACTTGAATTATAAACGGTAAATACATGTAGCGTGTATTTGAAACAGTGTCATGGGAACGATTTTGTCATTTTTTTCGCAACTAGTGGCATATATCAATGGAATCCGTTCTATAGCCTAACACGTGAAAAATGTGCTTTCTGAATGAATCGCAATGGACGATTTTTTTAATGTTGTGAGCAGTGTTGTGGAGACTGTAGTGTTCATGTACCACTCACTGCACGTTAAATATTATTCCATGATGTCATGGCGTTAGGTTGGTTCTCGTCCGTGCAGGAGGCGGTTGATCCAAATGGCTGTATTAGTGGCCAGAAACTAATAGGTTTGCACAATGTATCCATGGTCATTTCACTGCATCTGTACACAGGTGCATACTGCAGTCCAAGTGATAGTCAGTGAGACAACTACCGTGAAATGATCGCTAATCACAACGCACAACACACGGCACAGTAACACGAATAAAACGGGAGAGGGGTAATCACCAAGACAAAGCGAATGTGACTAACCATTCACGTGATTTGCATAGATCGGGTTTGAGAGAGTATGAATGGCTAGAGCCTCGGCAAATTTCAGTAATTTTGTGTTTATTGTGTTTTATATGACCTGGAATGCGTGAGTTGGAGTGACACAATGTTTTTGTTCGAATAAGTGTTGTGTTATCGAAGATCTAAGTCTTTTCTGCTCATTCGATGACGTAGCAGTTTCGATTTTGTTGTCAATCACTTTCGTAAACCACACCGGGATGTGTTCGGCCATTCGTGGTGACGTAACTGCCTCTCTGTCCCGCCTATGTAGATGACCGAGCATCCTCACTGGAATTGGTAAATGCAGGCAAAACTGTGACACCTCATGGCATCCGCTTGCTAGTCATACTAATTGGTCCTATCAACCAAATCAACATTCAGTGTAAAACCAGGTGATGGAGCAGTCACTCTTAAATGTGAGTGATCACGGATTCGTATTTTCCATAGGTACAATGCACAAACATGACAACGTGATTTCTAGCTTATTGCAAGGCATACCTTATAATTATGACATCGACCCGTGATTCATACGTTTTCGTTCTTCGATAGCGATTTTTCAATCCCCACATCTCGAACAGCTCTGTGAAAACGTCTTCGTTTTACCACTTGAAAGTTAATTTTAAAACCACCTATTTGAACAAGGGGAACGAAACCCCATTCCTAATACCAGTCACTTACTTCAAAAGCCAATCGGTTTCTGACTTGTGTTTCTCTTATGCCGATATACCGGAAACAAATGATGTTTGTGCAGATATTCCGTGACAAATCTGAAAACTTTGCCAATGTATTGACATGAATAATAGTCTTTCAATCTCTTCGTACAACCACACAAAACTAGCATGATCCTGAGGCACCCCCGGTACGGGATAATGACAGTCTAGCTGCTCGACTTGCTTGCGAATTATCCTCTGATTTGCTCCTACTGGTCTCCGATGTGGACGGTGTATACACAGCACCGCCGGGCAGTCCAGGAGCTCGATTTCTCAGCGAATACGAAGTGGAGGATCACGAAGATCCATCTTTGAATGGTCACAGTGAAGACGTCTCATTCGGTTCGGCTTCCAGTGTGGGCACGGGAGGAATGGAAAGCAAAGTGGCTTCGGCCGAGTGGACAGTTCGACAGGTACGTGTTAAATTGACAGAGACAAAATTGTTGCTTCCTTATTACTAATAGCTCCTTGGCGATTTTGATTTATCCCTCCAAGACTGAATTGAGCCGGGTACAGTCTGTGTTCCGTATCCCGACTGGTTATCAATTACGATCATTTACTATACATTACCATCTCTATAGAATCCTATCCTATTAAAACGATATTCCAGCATACGTTACATGTGTAACTCCAACCCACAATCACCTGAGGCTAGTAGGCCCTGTTAAGAAGACCTAGGCTGACTAGGTGACTGCATGTTGGACCACAGCATCGAGCCCAGCGGAGTGGCATCGAACGGAAATGAGACACACACACACATGTTACGCTATTTTTCACATTCGGAACATTGGGGAATATCCGGTAGTATAAGACTTCAAAAAGAACAATTGTCATACGGTGAATCTTTGTGCCTCAGTCCATGGCCGATTCAAGCAAAGGTGTGTTTGACTCTGTCATTCCGAATACATGAAATATATAACACGCACACAGATATACATATATATATATATATATGAGAACCTTTGGAGATAGGAACTGATTCTCTCTGTGCATTTGTGGATGAAAACGGCATTATTATTATTATTATTATTATTATTATTATTATTATTATTATAAAAGCAAACTTTCATTGGTTTGTTTATTTATTTTGTGTTCCAACTGGTCCACCTACGTGAAAGAGGTTTTCGCAAAAACACTAACCTATCATCCCCACCCAGTGCCCTAAATTAGTCAATCGCTTGCGTGTCCGATTGCCCCGTCCCCACCCACGCATCCCTTGTTCCCCGTACATGCCGACCTGATGTTCCGTGAT